ATTCCAGACCAAACAGAGGTACCCTGATTTGCACTGAACTATACCTTACCTCTCCCGTATCCAGGGGATTGGCATGGATTAGGCTGCTATTCAAGCTGAGTAAGGGGATCAAAGTCTGGTCCTTCCATTGACTGAGCCATTCCATTGACTTCAGAATGACAAATGAAGGGGAAAGAAGAATGAGGCAGGAGCACTAGGCAGAGCAACATTTAAGATGACTCGGTTCTCAGCTCCTAACACCGGGTAGTACTTTTCTTCATCTATGACTATGGGTACGTCTGGTTTACACAGCAAGCACAGTGGCAGCTTATCTCTGTACCGGAGTCTATACACTATAGTCTAAAAATAGCTGTGTAGATGTTCAGTCTTGAGCTGGAGAGTGCAGAAATTTAAGCATAGGGGATAAGTGGGCTTCAAAGCTTAAGCCTGAGTGCAGTGGGGTCTGGATCAGGTTCTGCAGGAAAAAGTAGCCAGGAACCACTGCACGTTGTGTGTTACAAAATGGGACAAAACGGGGAGAATTTCTATAAAACCAGAGTGCACGTATTTACTAAGCACCCTCTCTTGTAAGCCCTAGAAGCAGAGATACTAGTTCTTTTTAAAGACTCCATTTCCCATTGATGGCCACGGGACTGCTCATGTGAATAAAGATAAGTCACAAGTAAGACCAGATATTAAAACAAGCCTAGGAATATACATACAGAAATTAAATATCATTTGGGGATACTAAGCAGTACTGTTACTGCTTATCACAGATACCATGTGGAAAATCTGCTTGAGCCATTTACTCTTTCTTTTGATTTTTCCTTACACTTGCAAAGATTGTGACATTCAGTGTTGAGTCATTTTTTACCAATATTGAATTACAGCACACTTCCATTTATTTGTAAAAATCACAATAAGCTCCCTCTAGTACAGTATCTACGCTTCCAGTTTCGGTTGCGAAAGGGAGTAGGTGTTATTACAGTGAAAGAACTCAGCTCAGTTGGCTGAAGAATAATCAGCTAACAATAATTAACTTCCATCACTCAGTTAGTCTTGCACCACCAAATCCTACTTTATTTGTCTTGAGTTCGTAATTTAAAATAACTATTGATGGTGCTGCAATACCGAGTCTATTGGAGTGCCACTCACTGCTTGGTTTTCATTAATAGTGTTCATGCCCTTATTTTAAAAAATCCACCATAATTATATGGGAAAAAGGTAAATTGCCATTTTCTACATACAATTCCATTGCCACTGCCATTGAACGTGAATATTTTCCCTCTTTAGAGGTCTGCAAGTAAAATGCCTCAACTAATGGCCCAAATAATGTTCCAACCCCCCAAAACACATACATCTGAGCAATGAGCATTGTTAGACTGGGAACCTTAGGTCTGAAGAGAACCGTATTTTCTACTTCTCCCCAACTAGTAATAATTATACTTAAATCTGGACTTGGAGTGACTGGAATAATTTAGTATCTCTTCTTTCCTCTCCTTCAGAACACAACATGAAAATATGATCCAGAAATAACTTTTCTATTTCACAGCAGCTGGCACAGTCAGGTGTTAAGGTTGGCTTTTAACTTACAATCACACTGACTACTAAACAGTATAAATTTTTTGAAGCGACAACTTGCCAGCTCTATAGCAACTTGGACTATAGTTCCTATTTTTATAAACTTCCAACCTTTATAAATTAAACCCACTTTTACTGTCAATGTACTTCAAATTTAACTTAAAGCCAGCTCAGATTTTCCTCCTAATTCTCACATTCCCAGAAATTACTAGAAGGAAGAATAAAAAAGAGAGGCATTTAACCCCACATTTGTTTCTGCTTCTTCTTTGGCTTGCTAGCTGCCTATAACTTTGCCTCAATGTTTCATTTTCTTGGGTAAATTTGGCCTTTCAGAAGTGTGATGACACAGTGGAATGAATAAAACAAAATTAATACAGGTTTTCAAAGGTTCCTGCATGCCAACGCATTGCATAGATTAACAGTGTCAAGAAAAACACTTACTAAAGCAGTCAAAGGCACTTGCAAACTGTTATCATAGGTTCTGATTCAACTAAGGAAATAAGCATGTATGTAACCTGAAACATATGAGCAGCGCCACTGAATTCAGTGGCACTAAATAGCTACAAGCATTGTGGTTCTCATCAGGCAAAGCACATCATGCACATCAATAATCCCTCTGAAGTCAATGGGGATACTCAGGTGCTTAAAGTTAAGCACGTGATTAAGGTAAAATTTTCCTAAGTACCTAAGCCTGATTTTGCAAATAATTACTTAACTTTATTATCATTAGCAGTCCTACTGTAACCTGCAAAGCTTTACTTACCTGGACTGTGATCCAAAGTGCACTGAAATCAGGGGGAGTTTCCAATGGCTTTAAAGACCTTTGGATCAAGTTCTATTCAAGTCAAGTCAATGAGAATACTTATAAGGATCAGGCCCTACGTTTTCTTTTTGAAGAATCTCTCTTAAGAGGGACAGGAGGAGAATTGTCCTTCCTCACAAAGGCAGAGTTAAATAATATCATACAACCCCAGTGGTGCATGATGATTCTATACACAGAATGTCATGGTAACATTAAAAAAAACCCAGAACTGAAGCAAACTTTTTTGCAGGATTCATTGAGATTACTCCTTGTACTTTTTATATCTGCATCCAAGCCAAATCTGACTGGGCAGTTTAAGAGAATAATTTTGTAGAAAGGAAAGATAGACAGCACTGATACTGAAACGAGCAGTATTTTATTTCCAGTATTCAAAATGCTGAAATGCATTTAGAAGCACACAGAAGGAAAGCAACACATAAAATCTTAACCATAACCAACTGGCAGAAAATACACGTGGTTGGATTCTATGATCTGTCAAGTTCAACTTGCACTGCATACATTTACATGTCACACAGGGAGTTACAGTGATTGGAGAATTCCCCCCTGTGGACTGGAAATCTCCAAGAGCTGGAAACTACTCTTGCAGGCATTGGAGGAAGAGTGTGAAAAAGATGGGGAAGGAAAGGGATATGCCTAAGTGAGGCACTGCTACTCCTGATTCTGCATGGGGATACAATCAGTCCCTCAGTAAAAATTACCCCTCTCTGGCCTTAAATTATAGCAGGGCCCAAGTGGCTGAAGACAAGGGAATCACTATTATCTTCCTGATGCCCCTGCACTGTGCTTGAGCTGTTTCTGGTATAGTAAAAAAATCAAGCCCTTAGAATGTATATAATATATTTCCAGGATTGGCACTCTGAAACCTTCTGGCTACGTCTACACTGGCACGATTTTCCAAAAATGCTTTTAATGGAAAACTTTTCTGTTAAAAGCATTTTTGGAAAAGAGAGTCTAGATTGGCAGGACGCTTTTCCGCAAAAGCACTTTTTGCGGAAAAGCGTCCGTGGCCAATCTAGACACGCTTTTCCGCAAAAAAGCCCCGATCGCCATTTTCGCGATCTGGGCTTTTTTGCGGAAAACAAATCTCTGCTGTCTACACTGGCCCTTTTGCGCAAAAGTCTTTCGTAAAAAGATTTTTGCCCGAACGGGAGCAGCATAGTTTTTCCGCAAAAGCACTGACAATCTTACATGAGATCGTCAGTGCTTTTGCAGAAATTCAAGCGGCCAGTGTAGACAGCTGGCAAGTTTTTCCGCAAAAGCAAATGATTTTGCAGAAAAACTTGCCAGTCTAGACACAGCCTCTATGTCTATAGAGTCAGTATGAAGCACTAAAAACAGCTACAAACAAGGCTGAGACCACTTTTTATTCAGAATATCACCAGGTTCAATCATTCCTGGATATTGCAGTCTGTCATCATCCAGTTTTTAAGTTCTCTGCCATTTTAACTTTACAAAATACAGCACAGGGCATAAGTGCTGGAAGTAGGGGTGCTACTACTACACCCCCAAGCTTCAAGTAGTAATGAAACCTCATATACATGGTTTCTGCCTTCAGCATCCTCACTATGAAAATTGTTCCAGCACCACTGCCTAAGGGATAGCAGGGCATGTATCTATGCCATGTGAAGAGTTCAACACCACTGTGATGTCAGAGCTAACTCAATCAATCACCACACTTACTCTACAGCTTATTTTCATGGAACAAATTCATTGGTTCTGTGATGGAGATGGCTCAGATGATGGATTACTTGGCCCAACTGCCATACCCAGGCACTCAACTGCAATCCATATGAATCAACATAAATCTTCCAGCAGAATCTCTCAGATATAAATCAACACAACTACTTATACCCACAAACACCACCACAACTAGTACACACAATAACCTGAACACGTAACTCCTCAGCACACACCTCTCTCTTTGCCAGCCAAACCTATACAACCTTCACAGTAAAATGCGACTGACAAACAAATCAACACAACCTCTAACAGCAACAACTCAAAATATCACTCTGAATATCTCATGAGGTACTGTGAAGAGAGAAATATAGCTACAAGTATGTTTGAGAGCTGAATATCACCAGGTTCCTTTATTGCTGGGTTCTGAGAGCTATTACTGTCCAACTTTTAATTTCTCAGATATTTTCAGCTTTTTTACACACAACTTTACGAATTACACCGATGCAACAGCATGGGCTTTCAAGTCTCAGAGGCGTAGGCGTGTTAGTCTGTAACTAAAACTGTAACTGAAAAAAACTATAAAACAAAGAATGGTCCTGCAGCCCTTTAGAGACTAACAAAAATGTAGGTTTTCAGATATTTGACTAATTATAATAATTGATCTTAAGTAGAAAATATAACTGGCCAGATTCGGTTCTGAGTTTCAGTGTTAGAAAGCCAGAATAATTAGAGTCAATAGGTCTGAGTCTTCTTTTACATTGGTGTGCATCAGAAGCAACCCCTCTGAAGTCAATGGAGTTACACTGGTGTCAAACTGGTCTGAAATCAAAATCAGAACTAGTGGAATTCCTGTGGATTTACAATGGTGTAAATGAACTCAGAAGGTGTCCCCAAAGTGATTAGGTATCTCACAAAACTCTGAAGATTAAATTGTTACCTTCTTCAAATTTTGTTTTATTGTTGTACTGTCTCTCTCCACAACCTTCATCATTTCTTGGCTTGCCATATACAGGACATTTGCTGCAGAAAAAGAAATGCACAATAATGCAATTAGGAAGCAAATCTCTTACAGCAAGCAATGGGCCCGATCCTGAAAAGAAATACTACAGGCTACGCACTTATAATCATGTTCAGACCCATTGAAAGCAATACAGCAGTCAGAACGATTTTGCAGGACTGAGGCTTAGGCCTTAAAATATCAAGCAACACGTCTGATAATTTTCAGAGAAATTTACTTTTCACTATTCATGTGACACAGCCACTTTGCTATCAACTTTCTGAGATGGCTACCTGACCAAAAGTATTAGTGAGGAAAAAGATGCAATATATTAATTAAATAACTATTATTATATTATTCCATCTGCTCTTTAGTATGCTCTTTTGGAAAAATCAGAAGTAATGGCTAGAATTCTCTGCACTCATACAGCATTTTTTATGTTCAAAGCACTTTGCTAATATATACAGTAATTCATTTTCTTATTAATCCTGTATATTAGGTGATTCCATGTTAATGAACATTATTATTAATTATTATTATTATACCTAGAAGTTCCAGTGATAACCCAGGACTCCAGTGTCCTAGATATGGCACAAACACAGAACAAAATGACACTTCCTGCCCCAAGGAGCTTACATTGTTCCTATTAAACACATGGGGAACCAAAAGCAAAATGTGTGAAATCTTGGCATCATTGACATCAAAGGCAAAATTGCCACTGACTTTAAGGAAGCCATGATTTCATCCGAAGCGTGAAAGTTATTTGTCCAAGCCTGGTTTTTCAGGAGAGACTTTCTAAAAAGATCCTGACTGCTCAGTATGAACATAAAAGACCCCATGAGGCACTCTGTGGATTTGGCATGCGTACCTGGCTCTGGCCCCTCCTCCCAACCACGTTTTCTAGGCTGCAACCTCCAGGATGGTTGATTGTTAGCAGTGCATTGTGGATAGTCTGAGCTGGCTCCAGTTGAAGTCCAAGGGAGTTTTGCCACTAGGAGCATCAGAAGCCAGCCTGTTGGGCTGAACAGAACTATATACATTAAAAATATTACAGATCACCAATGTGGAACTTGTCATGTTTCTGTCAGGTAGCATCTTGCTGGAGATATCACATGCAATTTCCTGTTCTCAGCCCAGCCCAACAGTGACAGCAAAACTGAGTTTAAGCAAGGGCAGCAATCAAAAAAGGTCTTCTGCCTGCATCCTATCTAGGGTTTCCTGTCTCTCCTCTTCTCATCTTTGATAGTCCTCTTTCCCATCTCTGCTTCAGGGGGTTACAGAGTGCTCACTGATGGGTTCTGTTGAGACATACTGGGTTGCTGTTACACTTCTTGCCTGAAAGGGTATTCAGGGAATGCAGAAGCAACCAGATGTGGGGTGTGTGTCTGTATAATGGGAGGGGTATTTGGGACTTCTGGAAGGGGATATGAGGCCTTACTCTTGACGTAGGAGGCAGTGTCACTTCCTGTTATAGTGATAAGATGGTTGGCATAGCCCCGGGATGCAGAGTCAGTCATCAATCAGCACCTTCCTGCCTCTCCTGCTCCTCAAGGTGGGAGCCAGGGCAGGCTGGACAGGATCTGGCAGCTGTGATGGAAGGGACCAATTAGCTGTGGCTGCAGGAAAGGGACCAGTCAGGGCATGGAGAAAGGCTCTTTCTGAGCTGCAACGTCTCCTTGGAAAAAATTTCAGACATTTCCTCTTTTTGAAAAGTCCCCCTCCCACTCCGACAGAAGGAGAAAGATGGAAAAAGAAGTTGTGTCCAGGAAAACCAGGACATATTGTAACCTTTGGCAATATTAAGCACAACTTTCAGAAGTGCTGAGCACCTGTGGTTTCCACTGGCTCCCAGTGGAGCTGTGGCTGCTCAGCACCTCTGAAAATCAGGCAGAAGTCATCTCAGATCAGAGGTCATTTTTGAAAACACTGGTTTTAAAGTGCCCTGAAAAATAGGAAATGCAGAATCAAGGTGGATACCAACCCTGAGCTGCAAGAATATCTATGTAGCAGTAGGGATAACCTTCTAGCCTCTGGATGAAGAAAAAGAAACAGAGTGAATAGGGATGAAGGATTAAAGAGATAGCAAAATCTAACAAAATAATAATAAAGGTGGACTTCTTCTAACCACATAAGCTGGTTAAACAGCACAACAGGGCAAAGCGTAGGGAAACAATTTCTTGACACTTTAACTCTAGACACTTTCAGTGACTGCTTGGAACAGCCAATTCTAGATCACACAAGAGAATTATTCTTGATTCTTGATATTGTAGGAAACACATAGGAACTAATCAAGACATGACAGTAGCTGTGTCAGTAAGTAACAGTGAGTACAACATAATCACCTCAAGATGTAAAAACAAAGGACAAGGGATTCTTTAAGTGAACTAAAAGAAGGAAGCCTGCAATAGACTTAGCGAGCCTTCAGGATCATCAGGGCTAATGGGAACCAATAGGGTAGATAAAGACACTGCTGAGGAGCTAAATGATTTATTTGCCTGGTCTTTATTATTTAGAATGCTGGGAAGATTCTTTCTTCCAAACCAGCTCTTTTCTGGTAATAAAGATGAGATGCAATCAGAGTCTGAGGTAACAGAAAAATGACTGCTGGAGCAAACTGATCATTTAGAAAGCACAAGTTGCCAGGCCCAAATGGTGTATCCAAGAGTTCTGAATAAGCTTAAATAAGAAGTAGCTGACTTGCTAACAAAAAATGCAATCTCATTAAACAGTCACTACTCTCGAGATTTAGAGAATAGCAAGTCTTATATATATATATATATTTTAAAAAGACTTTGGTGTGAACAAGTGAATAATAGATTGTATCTTACATCTGTAGTAAATTAATTGCAATGATAGTTGAAAACTGAAAAACAAAATGCCTGGAAGGTGTGTAACAAACACAGAGATTGAAAGAAAACTCATGTTTCATTAATCTCCTATAATTCCTGGATATGTCAGTGAAGCAGTGGATAAAGGAGAACCAGCTGACATAATTTATTTAGACTTCCAAAAGGCTTTTGACAAAGTTCCACACAAAAGGCTAATAAAGAAGATAAGTAGTAACAGTGTGAGAGGCAAAGTGTTGCCATGGATCAAAAACTGGTGATGAGACAGAAAACAAAGGGTGGGATTAAATGGCAAAAGGTTAACAGAAGTTGATTCAAGGTTCCATACTAGGTCTACTGTTGTTTAATACATTTATTAATGACCTAGAAAGGGGACTGAGTAGTGAGGTAGCAACATTTGCAGATGACAAAAAGTTATTTAGGTTAATCAGGATTGGACGAGACTGGGAGGAACTTCAGACCAGACATAAATCATTTAGGTGAAAGGGCAATGCAAATGAAATTCAATGTCAATAAATACACAGTCTCAGATAGGTAGCTGTGTTAGTCTGTAACTTTAAAAACAAGTAGTCCTGTGGCACCTTAGAGACTAACACAAATATATGGAATCATGAGCTTTTATGGAAAGACTTCATGTGGGTTTTACCCATCAAAGCTCATGATTCCATATATTTTTGTTAGTCTCTAAGGTGCCACAGGACTACTTGTTAATAAATACTCAGTACTGCATGTGGGAAGGAAAAACTGAACTATTTGTAGATCTTACAGGATTCTAAATATCAACTCAAAGAAAGGACCTGAGTATCATTGCAATTTCAGTTAAAAAAACAAACAAACAAACAAACAATCAAGATGGTGAGTTGGATGAGAAATGGTGAATAATAGAGAATACCGAATGCCTCTATGTAAATCAATGGTGCAGCCTCATCTGGAATACTATATGCAGTACTGTTCACCCTATCTCATATAGGGTATCACAGAACTAGGTGGGTTCAGAGAAAGGTGGTGCGAATAATCGAACCCATAAAAATCATACAAAGAGAGACTGAGAAGATTGGGATTGTTCACTTAAATAAAGCGATAAATGAGAGAAGACATGCTACAAGTATATGAAATAGTGTGTGTTTGGTATAGAGAAGGTAGATTGGGAATTTCTGTTTTCTCTGTCTCATAACACAAGAACAAGAGGGCTGCCAGTTCAATTAAAAGATGGAAAATAAAATAAATACATTTCCACATACAGTGTGATTAAATCAGGAATTCAGAGCCACAGGAAGTTGCTGAGGCCAAGGAGTTAGTAAGATTCAAAATGGGACTTGACATATATATGGAAAACATATAACCATATATTTAAGAGCTTACGCTAGTCTCTACCTATTAGAGATCTGGAAAAGACCTAATATGGAGGGCAGATTACCCTGCAGCTCCACACTGTGGAACCCCACACTTTACTTTGAAATGCCAATGTCAGAGACAGAACAGTGGACAAGATAGACTTCAGATCTGATCTAGCCTGGCAAGTCCTAAATTCTTAAACACAGTGCTTTTGGGGCACATTGTGGACTTTACTTCTAATTATTATTTATAAGTGTCAGTGGTGATATTTTAATAAGCAACTTCTCCAGATTTTTATATAAAAACTGAACCTGAAAAGAACTCAAACGCTCAACCTAAAAGGAAAGGGTACAGAATACACACACAAACACACATGCATGCACCTTCCCCCATCCTTACCTCTCTTCAAAGGGCCAACCAAGGAAAATATAGTAGGGTATGTCTACACTACAAAGTTAGTTCGAACTAACGGACGTTAGTTCGAACTAACTTTAATAGGCGCTACACTAGCGCTCCGCTAGTTCGAATTTGAATCGAACTAGCGGAGCGCTTAGTTCGAACTAGGTAAACCTCATTTTACGAGGATTAAGCCTAGTTCGAACTAGCTAGTTCGAATTAAGGGGTGTGTAGCCCCTTAATTCGAACTAGTGGGAGGCTAGCCCTCCCCAGCTTTCCCTGGTGGCCACTCTGGCCAACACCAGGGAAACTCTATGCCCCCCTCCCGGCCCCGGATCCCTTAAAGGGGCACGGGCTGGCTACGGTGCCCGTGCCGGGTGCAAGCCTGCCAGCACCCAGCCAGCAGACCCTGCACCTGGCACGGCACAGAGCCACCCACCCGATGC